ACAACAAAAAACAACAAAGTAAAATGGCAAAAGGCTATTTTATGACATCAAACAACAAATATAACTACTGATTGTGGTAGAACCATCAAATCACACAGAGGAAGTCCTTTCTAACCAAGCCTACAGAAGTCTTCCTGAAACAGAAAGCCCACTTTCCTAAATAGGCACAGCGCTGAGTTAGCTTAACACCACACATTGTTGTGTTGGTAATAAAAGTTGTAAAGAAAGACAGGAGTGCTTCCCCTGAAGGAACTTCAAGTGTAAGCGCCTAAAATGACAACCTTTAACACAAAAGACTTTTATGGATAAACTAGGGAACAAGACGTCAGTGGTATGGTTAAATTTTGGCTACTTAAAGCACGTTTAGCCAGAAAGTCACTAAGACCACCCTTAACAGGATTGAGGTTAATAAAGTCTGACACAATACAGACTGGTTATGTATACTATTAGGTCTAATGAAAAACATTGCCGATAAAGACAGGAAAGTTTATCACCTGAAGCAGCACCATCCAATAATGCACTGAGTAAAAATTTGCAATGAATATGAACATCTTTTTTTTAAGTTAACAGACACACTGCATGACATGGTGCTGATACGCTAAGTCTGAAATAAGGGATGTTAACTAAAGAATGCGACTGGCCCGAGATATGAACACCCTGGATGCAAGTATTTCACACTTACAAGTTTTAACTTAAGTGTCTGTCTTTTCTTGACAAGCTGCAATTTGGTACTAACAGCGGTCAGATAGCAACCTTTTTGGTTCTACAGCTGTTGCTTTGGCTAGTGTGAACTCAGTGCAGCCCTGTTTACTTGAGTCTTGACACGAAACAGCAATGCAGCTACATTATATACATTACTTTGCACATCTGCTGACATATTTGTCATCTGTAAATATTGCTCTGTAGGACCGTTTGGGGATTCTGAGCAAACTGAATGACATTAGAGCATCTTTATGAACTCTTACCACTGGTAAATGGGTAGAGATATATTTGGGCAGCTACTACTAAACTCACCTCACCTCACAATGTGTATAGTGTATACTACTACTACTACTGTATTATAAAGTTGGGTATGCACTTAAATTGTGTTTCTATGTGAATGTTTTATACCGATAAATTTCTCTGCAGTAGCATAAAGCTGGCTACTCAACTGGAAACCTTGGTGCATTTTACTCAGTGCCTGTATATGTTTTTTCAGGTGTTTGTTTGCAAAGCCTCTCAGCACTTTTCTGCCTTTTAAAGATGCCTAGTGGACATACAGTTGAAAGTAGGATCATATCAGAAGTGAACAAAAATCAGCACTATCACTGACCAAAACCATATAATCCCAAAGAGTGAAATCCACAGACTAAGAATTTAATCCCATTCATATCCTGCACTCGCAGATTAAAAAGAGAAAAAAATACACATCAGCGGGATGAAAATCCTTTTTATCAAAAACAAAGACCCCCCAGCGCAAAAGGCTAATGACTCAGGTTTTGAACACATGGTCATTATCTTGTGGTGACACTCATCCTACTGACAAGCTCAGCTGTGTACAAACTCAGGGACAAATGTCTTTCAGACACACATTACTGCCATGAAGGCTTTCAAATAGGCTTGTCATACACTTCTTGTATCATCGCATAGACATCAGTACAATTTTTCAGAAATGCCTGCATTTTATGCCATCACTGTCCACCAGGCTCACTGGACAGAATGTCAAATACATTCTGGGTGTCAGTATAGCATGGGTCATATCCAGGTCATAAAAGCTAATTAACATTAAATGGAACAATGTTTCATGCTTAGTTAGAAAACTGGATGCTCTTGGGTGTCCATACAAGTTGTTCTCAAACTAAAACCAATATTGATAAAGCTATAAAATATGTCGTAAAGTGCTATGTACCTGCTTCATATTTTATCTGCAGTGGATCACAAGGTGAGAGCAGTTAGGCTAGAAGTCTCAAGTGCTGGACGAGTTCATGCACACTTTTATCATTAATCTGATAAAAGGGCAAAAACAAATTCCAGTTTGGCTGAGACATCACTGAGACAGCAGTTACAGAGGTGCCTCAGGTGTGATGTTGGTGCCATCCTGCGAGTAGTTACAAGGACTATATATATATGTATATATATA